TTAAGATTGTTTAAAAAATACAAACCTAAAAACTCTGGTTTGGATAGTAATTGTCAAAACTCTAGACTTTAACTCTAAGAAATCATGAATTGTTCCTACTATTTCGCATCTCGTTTCATATCAGATTGTTGCACTTCAACGATTTGTACATGTTAATCTTTGTACTTTGTATTTCTTAGCACTTTGAAGATTTTTTAGTTACTTTCTCCCTTGCACAAATATTGTAAGGAGCCTTGCGTACATGGGCAATTTTTCATAGGGGCTTACAGGCCCCTCACATGTGTTGTGAGCCCCACATGTATTTTAAAAAAAACTAAATTAGCGCGGACCCCACCTCTGTGTCTTGCCTGGCAATGGCCTGTAAAAAAATTGCCCTGTACTTTAAGCATGGCCCATATTGTAAAGTAGTAGCATATTAGGTACACGTATTGAAAGGGTCCATATGAAAATATTTATTAAATGTAGATAAAAAAATGTTTTGGGTAAAATCGACTCAAAATCGAAATCGACAGTTCGAGTTTGTATTTGGTTCCAATAATTACAAGAATCCAAATTATTTCATTTACGAAATATTGAAGAATAGTGTGTGGTTAGGATATTGAAATATCCGGACCGATTCACCCAATGCCCAAACCTAATTAAAAATAATAATTAATAAATATCAAATAGGATGACTACATTAGTTGTTGACTATGAATAATATTATTTTTTATTCTTACAATTAGCATTCTATTAATTTGCACGGTCTCCATCCTAAGATGTGTTATGAGAGTGTAAAAATATTTATGCGCCTATTGTATTTTTCAAATAATCGAAATAAAAAAACAAATATAAAAGTTTAACAAAATAATCGTCCCTGATTTCATGGCATGTTAGAATAATGGACATGAATAATCATCAGAAATGCAACAAAGAAATGGAGGACATAAATGCAAAGTGAGCAAATATCGAGGACCTTCCTTGCAATTAAAATGTAAATGGATAATAAGTTTTTTTTTCCCTTATGAATATAATTACTCGTAAAACTATAAGGGTGTATTTGACTGCATTTATTTTCCATGAAAAATATCAGTTTTCTATCTAAATTCCTACTTTGAAGTATTTGATTGCCATTTTTTCCACGAAAAATAAATACAATCAAATATACCCTAAGTGTTTAGATCTTTTATCTTTAAGTGGAAGCCTTTTAATAAAAAATAAATAAAAATTGTTGATTAGGATTTTTAACCAAATACCCTTTTCCTTTATAATCCCGGTTGGCGGTAAAAATTGGATCATATAATTTTGTTGATAAATAATTACAATCGAAGATCAACGTGATTAAAATCAACAAAATCTCTCACCTAATTATGAACTTCAGCTCATAAGTTTACTAATCTAGACGCTTAAGCAAAAATAAGAGGAGAAATAGTTATTTAAAAATGAGATATTTGAATTGCATGTCTTTTTCAAATAGGGAGTGGAGTATTTATAGATTTTCCTCCTCGAGTATCGGGGGGTAGTCTGATGATTTTGTGTTGTGCCAAATGACTTCTCATCAGTGGTAGTTTGATAACCGATTTCGATTAAGAATCACATTTTGATCATTTGCTCATGTGCAGCTTATAGCTGCCTGAATATAGGAATAGGTTCTCGACCTTCGGGTAAATCTTTTGCTTCTTTTTACTTTCACATGTTGCCATTTGTTTCCCTGAGAGGGGATCTCTCGAGGTGGTTTGCTTCGTTCGATAATATCGTTCTCATCGTGACTGTAAATCCATTTAATTATTTCATCTTTATGGAACTGTAAAGAGGACTTGAAAAATCGTTTAATTAATTTTGCACTCTGCGATTTCATGAAATTCTCCGAACAACTTTATGCTCGTGCCCAACTTCAGGTTTCCCCACTTGTTTAGTGGATAGTTGAAGGTACAAAATGAACTCTTGAATTGTTGAGTGCTAGTCTAAAATAAGTGAGACCAACCTTATACATTAGATTGCACGTGCAATTTATCTTATCCTTGTGAACCCCATCCCCCTACCAACCAAATAATAATAATTAAAAAATATGAAACGAAACAAAATCAATCATGCTACATAAGCAGGCTAAAAAATAGGGTCAAAAATATGGAGGACACGTGTCGACGCATGATTTAACGATTTGGAAAAAAAACCAAAACGGTGCTCTCAAATCAGTCTGTCCATGATTTCTCAGTCTTGAGCATGTTCAATCATTGTCGTTCGAAAAAAAAAAAAAAGATAGGGTTTTCGTTTGAAGAAAGTTAAGTGTACAATATTGGTTGACAAGAATAACTGATAATCATGTGCTGTCAAAATTCTAACGTGTAATGTAGAAAACATTTTTTTAAAAATGTATGAATATGATAATATCAAAGAAGATGTTATCAATCAATGTTATCAACTAACGACGTATCTTTTCATTTTCCAGCTTCATATTACAGCCAAAGATGTCGTGTCAAAGAGAATTTAAGAGTGGGGAGCGAGATGCCCTCAAAGGTACGACACCATTCATAATTTCTCACCGCGACGAGGCAGGGACCTTTGTACGGACAATACTTTCATGCTAGCTATTTGTTAGTTAAAATAATATTTATATTGAAGCAATTGTAATTATTTTCTGTTTGGTACGAATTAAAATTAATTTTTTTATAAATTTTAATAAAAGTCAATGAAATATATAGTTAAAAATTATAGATTCTATGAACTATGTGAGTTAAAATTAATTATTAATTTTGATTTAAATTATAATTTGTACCAAACGGGGGTTATGTGGTATATTATACGCATGCAACTTCTCTTGACATCATTGATTGGCTATAATTTTTTAAAATTTATTTTTAATAATAGATTTTATGGGATTTGTAACTTTTTTCAATAATACATTTTATCAATTTTATTAAAATCTACTAAAAATATGACTTTTAACATGGGCAATATGTTTTTCTTGCACAATTGCCGTAATTATAAATTGCTAAAAAATGTACATCAAACACACTCTTGGTCTAACTTTTTCAATATTAGGCAATAATACATGTAACTTAGTTGTTATAGAGACTCAATGATATAAATATATCAATTTTGTTCAAAGAAATAGTTTACGACTTTATATATTGTTTATTAGTTATATCTTTAATCTTAAAATGTCCTATAAGATTGTGATTCGTTTTTAATCTTAAAATTGAAACAATCTTCTAAGCTTTAGATGAAAGTTGTACATTTGAGTTTAATGAACTCTGATTTCAATTGAGTCCTAATGTTCAGAGAAGGTTTCATTGGTAAAACAGCATTCAATCGTGATTATTAGAAATTGGTTTAGAGTGTGTTAATATTGAAATTTCTTCATTTGCGTCTGTATGTTGAAAGCCAACACTCCATATTCTTAGCAAATATTCGGTGTGGATTAAAATTTAAGTTAAAGTCAACAATTAATATTAACCACAAATTTTATCGACTTTTATCAAAATTTACTAAAAATTTGACTTTTAACTACACCAAACAGGAGAGAAATAAATCGATATGGAATTGAATTGTGCCAAACTCTAATAACTTCAACAATAAACTTGTTTAATTGTGTTTAAAAGTCTTCCAACTTGAAGTCTTCAATCTTTGTCACTACATTTTCAGTCACATGTAGGTTGCTTTCTATGGAGTACGTTCGACCCTACTTCAATGTGAAGTGGTCCCAACTTTACTAGAAAAAGTAATGTGCACCAACCTTCATTACGAGGATAATACGATCGACCGACCCTACTTCCATGGGCAATGGTCCCAACTGTACTAGAAAATTACGTGTTCCACGAACAGTGCCAAGTATCAGAATTTAAAATGAGAAGAGTAGGGTAAAAATAAATTGTTTTTGCCATTTCCTTAAAAATTAAAAATTTCTTCAATATTGTAGCAATAAGCGATTTGAGATAAAGAAATAGTATTAATTTTTCTTCCGAGCGTGTTTCATTTCATTATAATAGAAGTATGACACGTATTTAACGTCAGTAAATAAGTGGCAAGTGAGACTTGAACTTTAAATTTTTTACATGTCTGAATACCATTTTTTTATTCAACCTACTATAAACGAAATGTTTTTTGTTATCAACGAGAATAAAATGAATGCAGACTTAGGATGGCGGCTTGTCCGACGTTCCACTGAAGACGCAAATATATAATAAACATATTTTCCATCCGTAAATGGGTAGTATACATTATATTATTAAAGAATTATATTTCACATGTCCTATTTATAGCCCTTGTTATCATAATTCGAGTGTAGTCTCTTCATCGCTTAAAAAATATTCTGTAAATTTTCTATTGTATAATCATCATATTCTCCATGAATGGACTCAAAAGCGTTCCCAACATTTTTTTATTTTATTTTTTGATATGTTTTAAACATCTTGTTATGGTCAAATTTCAATTATTCCTATAAATACAAATTCCTCTATAGAGAGAGAGAGAGAGAGAGAGAATTCACAATATCGATCTTTCTCTTCGTACGGACACACATTATTTATTGGTAGAATTGTATATATCCTGTGGTGTGGCAAGTTTTAAGGTTCAACACAACCAAAGTCTCATAAAGGTAATTACAAGAAACCTCTCTCTCTCTCTCTCCTTCGGCAATTTGCACAATTACCTTTATTTTCTTTCCTACAGCTTCGTTTCTAATTTCAGATTCTTTCTACTTACTCTCTCTAGGGTTTCCCTTTTGCAGGTTGTCATCTCTTCCCTGAATTAGTAAATTTACACTGTTTAAGATTTCTATTTTATGCAAAAAAACTGAATGATTCTTCTGTCTCCCTCTTTCTTTTCTATTTTTATATATGTAGATAAAGATAGATCCTTTTTCTCTCTCCCTCCCTCCCTCTCTTGCCCGTGATTTCCATTTTTTTTTTTTTTTTTACTTTTTTGGTAAGGATGGTTGTGGATTCAGATTCTGTTTTGTACTTGAAGATATGCTTTGCTTCTTTTTTCCTTGTTTTTATCAAAGATCAATGTTCTTTCTCGTCCTTCGATCTCTGTATATATCTTTATGAGGTACTAACGAAATATACGTGTAATTTTTGTTTGCAGTGAGCGTACTGTGAAAATGGTGAGACAGAAGATTCAGATCAAGAAGATTGATAACTTGACGGCACGCCAAGTGACCTTTTCAAAGAGAAGAAGAGGTGTTTTTAAAAAGGCTCAAGAACTCTCTACTCTTTGTGATGCTGAGATTGCCCTAATTGTTTTTTCTGCCACTGGAAAACTCTTCCATTATTCTAGCTCAAGGTTCTCTAATTTCCTCTCTTCTCTCTCTTGAACACAACATGCTAGTGACTTTTAAATCAATTAGCTAGTTTTGTATTGAAAACTAAAGATAAACCACAGTAAAAATAACTAGAGAGACTGTCCTTTTTAGCAGGTACGAATTAAATGGGTAGAAATGGAAATTCTAAGGTAGAAAATTGTTGGTCGAATATGGATACGACGAATCGAACAAAACGAGGGGCGAAGGGCACAATGATATATATCACATGTATTTCTCCTGTGGGTGTTTGTAAACTAGCTCACCAGTGAAGGTGGTGGGGGAGGGGGAGCTGTAGAATTGAAGCTACAATAATCATGTAGGAAAATGAGAACACTAGGATGTCAAAATTAAAAGAATATGTTCGTTGAAGAGTCAAGGTGGGACTGTGGGCAGTACAAGTCAAAAGTGTAAGAGTGCCCTGAGAGATGGCTTGATTTCTGTGTTTTCGTGTCTAAGTTTCATGCTTTGTACCTTAGACTAAGCACAATTCAGGTTCGAAGATATGTGAGAAATTACTAGTTTTCCTATTCAATTTGTCTTATGGATAATGTAGTTCAACACACAAAGTTACTAAAGACTAAATTAAAATTAAAATAATATGCATATCTCCTCTTCACTATGTCTTAAATAATGCGGTTTAAAGTAGTACCGAATTTGAAAATTTCAACCAAACATAATAATGAAATTTGTGCATACTTTCTTCGTACTTGTGAAATTATGATGTCTAGTAGTTTAAATTGTTAAATATTATATATTCGGACATTCCAACGTAGTGGCATGACCAATTTTTTCATTCTTGTACACGCATAAACAAGGTCCCTAAAATTCTTATTGGCTCTCGAGAGGAAAAATTGAAAGCTTTAAATATACGAAATATTATGTTCACTTTCCCAAGTACATATATGCATAAATTAAACGGCATGCATTTGCGATGAACTTTCTTGTTTGTATTGTATGTACCAACCATGAACTCTATGTATGTAACTTAATAGAATTTGATTTTGTCTCAATCTTGTTTCAATAGTTGAAAATTTTGTTTCCATTTGTTCTCTTCTGCAGCATGATGCAACTAATTGAAAGGCATAGAGGGCACACAGAAAACTCAGACAAATTAGGATCACAACCATCTCTCCAACTTCCGGTGAGATCAAACGCTCAACTGATTCTTTTGATTGTCAAAGACTCACATCTAATTTAGGTGTTTGATAAATTTAATAAAGCTCTAATTCTTCAGTAAGCTTGCCAAATGAAAGTTGATTTTAGTAATACCAAACAAAACCTAAATATTGCAAATAGTAGTGTTTTTGTCTCGTTAAAGGTAGATTGTCATATGTTTTATTGTTTTTTTTCCCCCAATGAGGCTAACTAAATCCATCTCATGAACCATCCAATTCCATATTTAGTCAATGTTGTCAATGCTGCAGCAAAGTCTATGCCCTTGTTTGGGTATTTTGGAATAGTAATTTTCTGATGAATGTGTAGTTAAAAAGTAAGGAAAAATTTTGGGTTTACGTGTAATATTATTTTATTGAAGAATGTGTAGCTGAAAATGAAGAAAGAAAAAAATGTATTAAATTAAGCCCCTGTTTGACAACCATTTTTTTTTTTGTAAAAACAATGGTTTGAATATTAATTTCTAGGAGAATTTGTGGTTAAAAATAGGAAAAAAATTTGGATTTATCTACACAATATTTTATTGTGTGAATGTGTGTTTGAAATGAATATATAGAAAATAATGTTTGTCAAACATGGGCTAAAATGGAGCCCAGAGAGGGGCTTAATCATTTTGTACAAGGTAAAAGTATTATAAGTTAAATAGATTAAACAAGTACGCGTTAGCGACTAGTTTAAATTGACTAATTCCCTCTCAAACAAATAAAAATTATTTGAATTCAAATATTATTTGTCATATTCTATTTTTAACTTGGAGTGATATCAATAACCTTTTTTCTTATTTTGTGATGGAATTTACAAAATTTAACTCGTTGAAGCTCTTTTGGTATATCAAGAAACACCATATCTAATGTCAAAAAACGATATTGTTACAAGTGAAAATTATTGTATGCATTGGCTTATGTATTTCGTTTGTGCTACGCTGACATTTGGATAACCCTATTACCATCTTTTGTGCAGGAAAATAACAGCTATGGCATGCTCAGCAAGATACTTGTGGACAAGACTCGTGAGTTGAGGTAAAACATTTGTGTAAGTTAAAGATTTCTGGTTATGCTTATTCAAATGCATTGCACAGTTGAGATACAACAGTATTAATTGAAATAGGCAACTCAAGGGAGAAGATCTCCATGGACTTGACATGGAAGAGTTGATCAGACTAGAGAAGATGGTACTGGGAGGACTAAACCATGTCGTTGATGCAAAGGTATTATTACTTACAATTTCGTATTTCTGGTCTCTCCACCGAGATTTTCTGTGCTAACACCTCTCTCTTTCAATGGTGAAGAATGACAAGTTTTTGAAAGAGATCAGTTTGCGCAAGAAAAAGGCAAGTCCTCAAACTTTCTCTTTAAGAATAAATCCCACAGTTAGGGCTAGGGCTACTCTGTTCACAGAAATGAAACGATGTTTTAAGATGGAATCTCGAGTCTTAATGCACGCGAGAGGATGTTAAAGAATAAATTTAAACAAATAAATTCATCCCTCTTCCACAAATGAACTTTTCGATCATAATATCGATAGATAATGGAATGTTTCATTCCGAATACAAACTTACCATGTGCTAATTTAATTAATTAACTCTTCTGATATTCAGGCATCTGAACTAATGGAAGAAAATGCTAAGTTGAAGCTGCAAGCCGAAGTGAGAGTTTTCTGATCTTTTATTTTCCATATTTACATAATCATTAAAAAAATTTCACTGCATCCATCAGCATTAAGTTGTTGAGTGAACTGTTTGTGCAGAAATCTGAAGCCACTGGAAATGGTATTGAGCAAAGCAATTCATCCGAGTGCATCACCAATATTTCTCACGGCTCTGATACTTCCCTGAGGCTGGGGTACGTATGTTCATTAAATTCATGTATTCGACTTCAAATTTACCAAAAAAAAAAAAAGAAAGAGGGAGGTAGTGTACATAACTTTTTGACTGAATGATAATGTTAATTTTGGCAGCTTACCTTTCACCTACTGAAGATGAGGCCAGGAGACATCAACCCAGAAGAATAGTTGTCTATTTTCCTTAGTAGGATATATTTATAAATTATAATATAAGTTATTGCCAAGAAGGCTAAATTCTTATCCTTCTCCAATCAACAAAAGATTAGTGCATGCATGTTTGAGCTTTACATACATTTCGATTAATCGTGGAATGGTTTTCATATTATTTTTTTATATGATAGAAGAACGTATAAAATATTAAAATTAACATTACTTTATAAGCATGAATTTATTAAATAAACTTAGGTAAGTGATTGGCCATGGCACGCACAATAGTTGATAAAACTTGAGAATGTCGGGACGCTTTTTAATATATTCATGAAGATGATGATGATGATGAAACTTGGGACTAATCGAATTTGGAGTATGATGATAATTTAGAAAATCCATTTCAAGAAGTGTATTCGTATGATAATTTAGAAAATCCATTTCAAGAAGTGTGTTCGAAAAAGAATAGAGTCATAGAGACATTACACTTTGCGTATGGCGTCGAGGGGCATATTAGAACGAGTCACGAAGTGAATTTGTAATCTCTTAACGTTTCAACCAATTAGTACGTTTTTAATAATTTCCCATTAATAAATCCATTAGTCCATATAGTGTAAAATTTTAGACTCTGTTTGGGAAGAATTTATGAACGATTAAATTTATAAATAGATAAAAGTAAGAGCATGTTTGAGAAAGCTTAAAATCCAATTAAAATTGAAAATATAGCTGTTATTTGGTTCCGCTCGTCTAATAAAAGTCAACAATAACGGTTAGTTTTTCAATTTTAATCTGATTTTAATCTCTACCGAACACGCCCTAAATGAATGAGTGAATAGTATTTATGGATGCATTGAAATATGGGTAATGCTACACGTACATAATGTCGTGTTCATAACGGTGTTCACCCTCTCACATGGAGAGGGACCCACTCGAATAAAATATAATATATTCGAAGTTGATCCCCTTCCATGTGAGGGGGTGGACACCGTTATGAATACCGCATTATGTACAAGTAGCATATTTCTTGAAATATATGGTCAAAATAAAATTTATATGAATTTCACATGCTATCGATAATTAAGTACATGTGCAACGTATTAAATAAATGAGTTGAGATCTGTCGTTCAATTTTTGCTGTCCACCCAATTAATTATTAATATATTATTTTAAATTAGCATTCCTATATTATCGCGGAATCAATGAATCAGCAAACACAAATCCGCGCCAAGGACTCGTTCCTTTCCCCCAAAATAAAACCGTTAATATTCATCCATCACTCATTCTCTAAACTCACTCAATTCGTTCTCTCTCTCCGTAAACTTCTTTTGATTTTATTTTATTTTTGTTTGAAAAATTTCTCATAATTCTGTACATCGATCGTCATGGATGAACAATATGACATCATTGTTCTTGGCACCGGCCTCAAGGAGTGCATTCTTAGTGGCCTCCTCTCCGTCGATGGACTCAAAGTAAGTAGTAATATGCATACATGCAGATGTGAGCATTATCTTGTTTCGAATTCATTCAAGAATTGTCTCCGTCTGCAGGTAGTTGCATGTTCTTAATAATAGCTGGTTAGAATCAAGATCTAGTAATTGATTTCTAGAATTGTGCTTTTGTTGTGCCTGGCTTCACTGTGATCTGAGTGTTCAGGATTGGATTCGCCTAATGTTGGAAACTTGGAAAAGAAAAATTGAAAGGGTGATTAAAAATTCAAATCCTGCTTTGGATTGATTTTCTAATTCTCATCTCGAGGCCTGAGTTTTTGTTGGTTTCTAATGATTTTTTATCGATCTGAACATAAAGAGCTGCCTTGTGAACTGTAAAGCATCTGGCTGTGTATTCTTGATTGTTGAAAATGAGAAACTAATGCTATGGGTGGCCTTAAATTTGAAAACAGAAACGACTTGTTTGGATTCAAATTGTATTTTCAAAATGAAATTAATTGCTATTGAATTAGTAATTATTTGGCTTCAAATTTTTTGTTGTTAATAATAATTTGATGCTGAATTAAGAAAATGAATGAAATTGAACAAAATTCAGTTCATTACAATTGCTGAAATAATACTACTTGATACGAGTTAATACTCACTGAAGAAATTCAGCTTAATCTTATAGTACTAATTGATTAGTACATGGAAGGAATAGTAGTTGTTTCCTTAAGCCAAGATTTATCAAATATATTAATTTCTTTTCTCATGTCTTCCAGATTTAGCAAGGACTCTTTATTATCCCATTCAAGAGTTTCTCTTCTAGTTTTGATTAAATAAACTATTACAATCATTAATGTTTGATGTCCGCCACTATGTTGTCGATGAATCAATTTCTTTAGATTAGATTAAGTTTCAATTGTGAGATTATTTGAGCAGGTTTTACACATGGACAAAAATGACTACTATGGAGGAGAGTCCAGCTCCCTCAATTTGATTCAGGTAAATTTGATTTTGAGAATCTAAATATGCATTCATTCAAATATTAGATGCTCTTTCAGCATCCTAACTTGGAATTTTATGAACATGCAATGGCAAAGTTAAAAACAAAAAAATTGGAGCACACCACAAGACCGATCCTTATTTTCTGTTTTAAGTTGCCTCTGTTTGTATAACAACTTAGTCTTGTTTCTTATAGCTCTGGAAGCGCTTCAGGGGAGATGAACAGCCCCCAGAGAATTTAGGTGCTAGCAGAGATTACAATGTTGATATGATTCCCAAGGTAGATGTACATTTGTCTTCAAATTTTTTTATAAAATATATATTTAACCACTTTTTTTGTTCTTGTGTCAATGGTGTAAAGCCAGCTTTTTACATTGAAATCAATCATTAGTATCTGTAATGTTGAGTGTTGATTTGAAAGGGTAGCATTGTTTCCCAGTGCATAGCCATCTTTCTTTGTTGTTTTCATCTTCTCCATGTTGTGTAACATTTTTCTATGCATTTTGGTAGTTCATGATGGCAAATGGAACTTTGGTACGTGTGCTTATCCATGCTAATGTTACCAAGTATCTGAACTTCAAGGCTGTAGATGGTAGTTTTGTATACAATAAAGGGAAGGTATACTACTTGAAAAGGTTTTACCATCTATCTGTCTTTATGATACGCTTGCAACACATTTGTATATTTCTCATACTTGCAAAATTTGATTTGTAGATCTACAAGGTTCCTGCAAGTGATGTTGAAGCATTGAAATCCCCATTGATGGGGCTATTTGAAAAGCGTCGTGCTCGAAAATTCTTTATTTTTGTCCAAGACTTTGAAGAGAGTGACCCCAAAACTCATGATGGGATGGATTTGAACAAAACCACAGGAAAAGAACTTATTGCGTAAGTATTTCATCCCTAATTATTGTTGAATTCTTTTGATTTTTTTCTTCCTCCTGTTTTCTTCAGCTTCATCTCAATTAGTTTGTTAATGAAACTATTCTTTGACAATTTACGTGTCATTATACAGGGAAATGAATTTACCTTATAATTAAGTAGAAAGTATATCTGCAATTGATCACATCTCATAGTTTGGCTGGATATCAGGATTTGATTATTTTGAATATCTGAGGCAAAATTGTTCCAGTAACCTTGATGATGTACTAGAAAAGCTCTAATGAGCAAACATTTTTGTTGCCTGTATAATGAAATTCGAGTAATATGTAGTAGATACCATAAGGTTAAGATAACCAAATTTGGAGAATGTTACTGGTGGTCTTATGGCATGGTGCAGGAATATTTTGGAGAAATTAGACACGCAATACATTGGAGGTTGTCTCAATCTGTTCAATTCATATACTATTCTCTTTTGTTCCCTTTTTTGCGTCCTTGTCCTATGTGGTGTTTGGGTATTAAAAATATATAGGAGATTATTATTGACTGCTTTAGAAAGGTAGAAATTGTGGGAATTATAAAGCATTGACGTTCAGATTAAGATACGAAACAGTGGCGCTCACTGGAAGTTGATTATAAAAGCAACAAGCAGAGTGGTGTAATGAACTTCAATTTCTTATGAGATATATTCAAAGCATACATGCTTATTGTCATGTCCAGAGAGAGAAGATAGAAGGAAAAAAATCTTTCGATTTTGTAGTAAGATATTTGTGAATGGCTGCTATTTTATGAGAATTATTGATTGTCTAAACCATTAATGCAGAAAATATGAACTTGAAGACGACACAATTGATTTCATTGGCCATGCCTTGGCACTTCATAATGACGATAGTTACTTGGACCAGCCAGCTTTGGATTTTGTGAAGAGAATGAAGGTGGAAATTTTGTTTTACTGTAGTTTGGATTATTTGAATAAATGTCAGCATTGATCTCCTTAGTAGCACCAGCATTGTGCCTAGTTCTTCTGAACCTAAGGTTTAATGATTTCACATTGATGATCTTAATATAAAATATATTACGGGTATGTTATAGACGTTGATCCATGAAAAGAAATGGATTTTCTGATTCGGGAGGTACGCCAAGTACATAGCTGGTAGAAAATAATCGGTTTTTTTTGGGTGTTCTTTAATTGGTATTATGGCTCATATATACTCTTATTTTCAAATACATTATTAACTATTTGCTACCAACTTCTTTATCAGAATCTTCAAGTCTCTTCTTGGTAAGAGATACTTATCTTTCTTTAGGTAGTTGGAGATAATTTATTATTAGAAAATGTATGATTCTGCATTTACATCTTTTTCTGAAAGGAGTGTTTATATATATTGACACCAGCCATAATCCATTGAACTACAGCCATGGATCCACCCAGTGTTGTCGATGAATGAGAATTTCTTATTATTTTCCAGTGCAGGCTTCTATATTTCAAGGAGTTTATTAGTAACCATTCTTGTTTTCTTTCTAAAAGCTATATGCAGAGTCTTTGGCACGCTTTCAATCAGGCTCACCTTACATCTATCCATTGTATGGACTGGGAGAATTGCCTCAGGTTTGTCACTGCTTGTAATTTTTTTTCCCTTATTTATCTTTCTGCGCGTTGATAGCTATCCCAACTTATTTTTGTTGCATTGATCTGATTGTCGGGTTCATGTTGAACTTTGCAGGCATTTGCACGTCTAAGTGCGGTTTATGGTGGGACTTACATGCTAAACAAGCCACAATGCAAGGTAATTTTTCATCCCTCAGCTAAGGATACTTTTGGCTGTACTTCTCCCAGTGACTTAATTTCAGAAGTCGTCTTTTTGCATTAGGGAATAAGGAAATGCAAGAAACAATATTATAGTAACTTGGCTTCTCCTATAATTTAATCAAGCACATAAATGTAGGTTTTGTAGAAATTTGAAACTCCAGCCCCTCTGTGCAATCTTAAATTATCCATTACAAAGACAAATTGTCATGAGAAAGTTTTGCTTATATTGGGACCTTTTATAAGTGAAATATTTTGATTGCAGGTAGAGTTTGATGGGGATGGAAAAGCTATTGGTTTAACATCTGAAGGAGAAACTGCTAATTGCATAAAAGTTGTTTGTGATCCATCCTATTTACCCGTTAAGGTAACTTTCAGTGAGTTGGGACGTAGTAGTTTATTACCCCCTGATTAATTGATAGATGCATTGAAATTCAATCATTTTAGCTTTCATCTGTCAAATAGTATTATGGATATACATTTCTGTTGCACATCAGAACCTTTTTAAAGTAAATGTTTGTCACAGGTCCAGAAGGTTGGTAAGGTCGCTCGTGCCATATGCATAATGAGCCACCCAATCCCAGACACTAAAGATTCTCACTCGGTCCAAGTCATCCTACCACAGAAGCAACTTGGTCGTAAATCAGATATGTATGTTCACCTAGTTTACTGTGTATACTTTTTATGACAACAGGTTATGGAGAACTTTATAGGAGTTCAAAACATTATAATCTCAAATGGGAAACAGAAGTTCCGGACACGAAGTCATAGTTCTGGATAATCGTAAAGACATATTTGTTTATTTACAACAGGTATCTGTTCTGCTGCTCTTATGCACACAATGTGGCGCCCAAAGGAAAATATATTGCCTTTGTTTCAGCAGAAGCCGAGACAGACAAACCCGAAGTTGAACTGAAGCCAGGAGTAGACCTCCTTGGACCAGTAGACGAGATCTTCTATGAAACTTATGACAGATTGGTACCCTCTAATAAGAGTGATGCCGACAATTGTTTCATTTCCACAGTAAGTATATAAGCTTCTGTCCATTATAATGTATGCATCTTTGCTAGTGAGAATTAGATGCTCATCATTTGTGCTACTTTTATGTGATAAACGTAGTAATTGTTGGACTTTGTGGAGCCTAATTTTTGTTTACTCATCTCCTCAACTGTGGATTGACCTTTTCTTATAAGGGTGTACTGGGCTTTCATATCTATGTATTAGGTTGCCCTATCTTCCTAAGGTATATGGAGGAATCTGAGGGGACCGTTTTTTGTACGATAAGATAGATGGACGTGAGGAAGAAAAACTTGTAATATCCATTTTCGCTATACCTTCCACAGCGTTTCTCACTGATCACTTGCTGCATATTGTCATTTGTTGCAGAGTTATGATGCAACCACACACTTCGAGTCCACTGTAACTGATGTTCTAGCCATGTACACCAAGATAACTGGAAAGGTAACCGATGGATATACATAAGTGAAAATTGCAAGAAGTGTATATAACTTTCAGAAATTTTATAGTTACTTTTTATATATTTATTTTCTATTTTTCCTGGTTCAGGTCCTCGATTTGTCGGTAGACCTGAGTTCTGCAAGTGCTTCCGCCGAAGAATAACCTTCATTTTCTCCTCATTCTTCGAACAATTCACCTGGTCTATATCAAACCTTCAAAATGGTTCTGATGCTTTTAGAGCTAATCACTATACGTTTTGCATCAAACTCCATCAAGAAAAAAATTGCTGAAAAGAGTTTTTTGGACCGTATGTTTGTTAGATCTTGCAATATGACCATTCGTTTTTCCTAGGTTTTAAAGAGTTGTGCTTATTGCTTCTCTAATTCCTGCAATAGAACTTGCTATAATAGGAAAACACGTTGAATGTTTTTCATTATTCTTTTCAATTTACCTTTGTTTGCAATATTCCCTCTCTATTGTTTTGGAATTACTTTTGGTTAGAAATAGTTTTGGGTTCACTCTTACAAGTAGTTTTAGCAGATATAACAAGCCTTAGTAAGTTAGAAAAAAGCGAAAGCGAAAACTCATGAAAGGGTATCATTGCTAAGCAACAAGTAAATATAAACAAGTAGTAGCAACATTCAGCTATTCATCATGAATTAAACCTAGTTTCCAACAATGCATCATTATTAGTTGACAACACTATTCAACTAAGTTACACAACTACTTTTTTTCTTTTCATTTTTTTCAAATTTTATTGTTTGGATTTCTCAATGTATTTGACTTTTTTATTTTTGGTTGAAATTTGGAACAATTTTAGATGACATTAATACTTAACCACCTAAGTAGACTTAAAAACATGAAGACACACAAACACATAGGATTGACATGTCACACCCTCAAACTTAAAACAACATTATCCAAATGTTATGAATCAAGTAAGAATAAGGAAAGAGAACTTTCATGGGATGATGAGCACGGACGAAGCTAGTACCCGATGAGCCATGGTGGCTGCCCCGTTGGCTCCGTTTGGAAATTTTTTTTTTTTCCATATATTGGGTGGCCTCTCAATCAACCATCGAGCAATCACGTGCACTCGTCTTGATCCGTCCTAATTCACTCGAATTCCTGGATTCGCCACTATTGATGTGGATGTCATATGGCTTAGTTGGTAGGAGTGATAACTTTATTCTTTGATGGTACCTACAAGGGAAAAACATCAACAATTTTAAGATAACCTCGAATGCATAATGCTCAATAAAAATTTCAAACAGACGTGTCTAATCTAATAATGAGAAAAATTAGAAGTAAAAGGGTAAGAAAATTTGGTTGCTTCTCAATAAGTTTTGCTTAAGGTCATTTACTTGACTTAGTTGAAATGATCAATCAAGCCAGGTTGGTTCGAGCTTTGAAACCCATGCATTGTTTGCAACTTCGCAATGTTTTTCCTTCACTCCCCAAATCTTTACTATACCAGTATACCTTGTTCCCACAATTTTGCTCCATCATGTCCACCTATTTTAACCTTCGGTTTAAGCTCTTCCTTTCCACACTTACACCATGTTTGATCCACATTTTAAAAATATATATATATTTTCAACAACACATTTTTCATTAAAATAAATCACACGCAAATCCAAAACTTTTCTTTTTTTTAACCACGTATTTTCTATCAAATTACTATTTAAAATATATTATCTCACCAATAATATGCATCAAACAGGGTTTTAATCTTCGGTTTCCGATCATTTTGCTCGATTTCATCAGGTCATCATCTCTAAAGCAATTTTCTTGACTGGCTAGTGGCTTGAGTGAATTATATACACTGAATATGGCTTTGTCATTCTGCACCTTCAAGATTAGCTCATATTTCTCCACATTAATTAGAACTAGAGCTGTTCCGAGAAAAATGTTGAAGAATGATGAAATCCATCGGACTTTGTCCACTTTAATGAGTACATCCTTAAACCAAATCTCGAGGGTGCTTGGTTGACTGGTCAACTAGTTTTAGAGATACCATAGTTGGCTTCACCTTCCCCAAAACAAGATCCAGATTGCTAATTTTTATTCAGTCATATTTTTTTTAAATTTAATTTTTCTATGATGGTGGTGCTGATGCCGTTGTTGGCGAGATTGTTTAGTTGATGTATTGTTTGACTACGAGTGGATTGGATTAGGATGGGTGGGGTCGGTTTTGACAGTGGGTGGGTGAGTTTGGTTGGAGAAGATAAATTTTTTTTAATTTTCTTTTGACCACTAAATTTTGAAAAATATTTTCTATTGCTCATTGAACTTTGAGGTGATCGAGTTTTGGCCATTAAACTTTGAAAAATGTCTTTTATTGCTCACTATAAATTTTAATTTAATTAAGCCTCCGTTTATCTCTCTTTCAAACAAAAATCTTTAATTTTCATACTCATTTTTAATCATATTTATACAATAAAATATTTTAAACGTAAACTCAAAATTTTTTCCAACTAAAAATCACACATTCTCCAAAAAAAGCACTATTTAAAATTCTATTTTTTAAAATAATGGCCATCAAATAGAGGATAAAATTCGTTGTTAAAATTCAAATTTAATTTGATTTTAACAACAAATATATTGTGTGTTTCAATGCAATTAGTAGTCACTTTCTTTGCACAGCATTATCTATTCCACGAAAAATAATCAATTACACAATAGTTAAATTTAATTTTAATTTATCTTTGTAAAATTTAAAGCTATTTCCATCATAATATTTTAATTTTACAACGAAACACACAATATATTTATTTTTAAATAAGATCAAATCCAAATTTATTACGAATCATAAAAGACATTTTTCAAAGTTTTGTAACAAAAAAAACTCAATCATCTCAAAGTTTAGTGGTCAAAATTCGACTATCTCAAAGTTTAATAGTCAGAATTTGACCATATCAAAGTTTAACAGCATGACAGGGCGTCACATGTGCAATCCGTCAATCATGTCATCAATTTTGTTAGATATTTGAAACATAAGTTATGCCAATGATAACGTTCAACGTTTTTTAAAGTTTAGAGGTCAAAATTCGACATCTTAAATTTTAGTGAGCAATCGAAAATATAAACATAACTTTAGTGACCATGAAAACAATTAACTTCATCATTTACCCCCGCAAGTGACGTTACGTGGAATCTATTCAATGCGGTATATATTCCTTTTTGGAGTAGGTATAAATGGTAAGCTCAATAATATTCAAATCACGTTCCTCCCCAAGAACACGTCACTCAGATCAATCAATCAATAATATTCGTTTCCTAACGATTCCGTGGTGAGATACCGAAAAATGGATAAAAATGATTATGGAACTGTTACAGCAAGTGGAAAAGCGGAGCCGGAGAAGGAGATCGCAAAAGATGGTTCGATTTGTGGATTCGACTCTCTTCACAGCCTCCTTCAATCCTCCCTCAGCCCCCAAATTTTCCAGGTTAACTGTTAATTAGATTAGTTTGATTGATATTGATTACTTGGATTGAATCTGAATGCTTCTCCTGTTGTTTGCAGACTGTTTGGGACATACTTAACTTCTAGTCCTACTATTCTGTTCATTTTATTTGGTTAGAGTTTTCATAAGGAATTTTCAAGATTTCCAAATTAGGCGATGTAGAATTGAGTTGTTCTTTGAGGAACTTCAATGGGTTCTACCCTAGTGCGATTAAATTGACTGGGTTGCAATTATTTTGATCTGAACGTGTGTTTTATGCGGATAGTGTGTTACATCGAGATGATTTTTTAGATATTTGAATTTCATTACGTGAATCATACAGTTCTTGATCGTAGGAAGTCAGCCGGTTGCTTCTTGGGCTAAATTGTGCGAAGGCTCTTGAAACTCTCGCTCTTCCCGAGCCTGCTAAAGCTCTTTCTTCAAAACATGATTTTGATCTTCAGGTAAATAGATATACCTTTGAAGTGTTTTTTTTTTTAATCATCATAGGGAAGAGAGAGTGTGGAAGTTCTTTGTATGTTTTGTGCACAATTTTAGTTACTAATTTGAACTTTATATTCATTTAGACTAGAATAGAAACGTGATCATCATATTCATAGGCGTTTATCCCATGAGTCCCAGAAAAGTACTGACACTGTTTAATTTCATTGGAGATGATATTCATTCATACTTCAGAATCCTCATCTCTATCAAATTGATAAAAAGAATTGTTTTGCCTGTGGATTTATATTATATTCAAAATGTTCATTTGTGTATTTCCATTCAGGCATTTTCATTTCAAGCTGAAAATGAGTCACTGAGAGAGCCTCGTATTGTTAGAGTGGGTATCATTCAGAATTCTATTGCTCTACCAACAATAACACCCCTTTTGGACCAGAAGAGGGCCATCTTTCAGAAATTGACCCCCATCATTGAAGCTGCAGGCACTTCAGGAGTCAATGTGTTATGCTTACAGGTATGTTCTTGATGGAGATTACATTGGAGGTAACTTCTCCATGAAGGAAATTGCCTTCATAATGTTGTCGGTTACACACTGTAAACACGCACTCATTTTAGGTACACATTCAGAAAGTAAATATTTGAGATTTTAATGATTATTAGTTATTGAGTTAGAAATTTCCCCTTAATAGTCATGGTGGCATTCTTATTTTGTTAGGAACTTTACGTATAAGTGGAAATTGTATTGTTGGGTAATTAAAATTGGTTCATGAGATTAGGGGGCGTTTGACACCTATTTTAGTAGAAAAATGTGTTTTTGAATAGTGATTTATGGAAGAATGTGTGGTTAAAAAGTAAAGAGAATTTTTAAGTTTATGTGTAATATTATTTTATTGATAGAATGTGTGGTTGAAATGAAGAAAGAGAAAAAAATGAGAAAAAAAAATGGGTGCCATTTGCAGATGTACAACAATTGGCTTTCTGTTAAATTAAAAATTATAGTGTATAATTCATATGCAGGAGGCATGGATGATGCCATTTGCATTTTGTACTAGGGAGAAGAAATGGTGTGAATTTGCAGAGCCAATTGATGGGGAATCAACACAGTTTCTTCAGGACTTTGCTGGGAAATACAACATGGTCATAATAAGTCCCATCCTCGAGAGGGATTTGAAACATGGGGAGACTATCTGGAATACTGCTGTAATAATTGGAAATCATGGCAACATAATAGGGAAGCACAGGAAGGTGATGTTGACATCAAACTTTATTTTCCCAATCTTTGCACCTCAATATTCTCTGTTTTGAAAATAATTTACTTGCAGAATCATATACCTAGAGTTGGAGACTTCAACGAGAGTACCTACTATATGGAGGGGAACACTGGGCACCCTGTATTTGAAACAGCTTATGGAAAGATTGCAGTTAATATATGTTATGGAAGACATCATCCTCTCAATTGGTTAGCTTTTGGTTTAAACGGTGCTGAGATTGTTTTCAACCCATCAGCAACTGTTGGTGAACTCAGTGAACCAATGTGGCCCATTGAGGTATCAATTTATTGTTTCTCCTTTTGTTTAACATTCACCTTGATTAAATTTTTCCATGACAGTTTAAATGTAGAGCAGTCTAGTTCTTAAATGAAAATGAGCCTGCAACGAGTAATGATGTTTTGGCAGCTTTAATATGAACTGCTAAAACAATAACTGATGTTTTGGCGGCTTTAATGTGCAAGAATAAGAATCAACATTTTTTAAAATGATTTACATCCATGGTTTTGCAGGCTCGTAATGCAGCGATAGCAAACAGTTATTTTGTGTGTTCCATTAACCGTGTTGGGACAGAGATCTTCCCTAATCCTTTCACTTCAGGTGATGGAAAGCCAGAACATTCTGATTTCGGGCATTTCTATGGTTCAAGTCATATTTCAGCACCAGATTCTTCTTGCACACCATCTCTATCTCGTCACAGGGATGGCTTGATGATATCAGACATGGATCTTAACCTCTGCAGGCAACTGAAGGACAAGTGGGGATTCCGAATGACTGCTCGATATGAAATGTATTCGGATTTGCTTGCTCGTTATCTGAAGCCAGATTTCGAACCCCAAGTCATTCCTGATCCGTTGTTACATAAGAACTAATTCTTAAGGCTATAAGGATGAGAGAAGAATTTTAGCTGCTGAAATAATGCAAGCTTCCCATGTACGAAAACTAATAATCTTGAGTTTAAACATTTTTTTTTATTTTTAGTTTGAAGACTTTTCTTGCATGTATATATAGCTTTGTGATTCATTAGTCATTATTGATCACATTTTGCTATTCTACCAAGTGTAGATACAAATCTAGTGGAGCCGTGAAGAATAATTTTGATGGGCAGTCGATGGAAAAAGTATTTTTTTTAAGATCATGATAATTAAGGTTCACCTCATTACCGTTATATGGCATCTTTTATAGAATGTGTTTGTGTTTGATATATTATTTGCAAGTATATATTTTGTCTTGTTCATTTGCAGTTATTTCCGCATCGAAAGTCCAACACGGTATAGTGTTAAACTACTCTATCTAAGCTTTCTACTAGTTATATATGGTTTCTTTTCATTAGTGGCTTCAGATTAGAGGGATCTGGATAAGTGCTAGTCTTAAGAGTTGGATACATACCCTGTCAATCTCGATGGATTCAATAAGTCTTCTCTTCATTTTTTTTTTCAGAAGGGTGACAGCAAGCATAATTTCATTCCATCAAAAGGCAAAAGTTCCATGCGTTTTATTTTTCATGCACATTTATTTTTTCTATGATACATGACTTTTCCAACGGGAGGAAATCCTGGTACAGAATATGTCAAGACTAGCTATAAACGCAGGTGATTACACTTCACAGATTCTTGGATGTGTTGAAGAACACTTCTCTTGCAATCTTTGCACCTCTTCCCTTGGCCATGTAAAGTCCCACATGATGCATCAATTCCTGTCATAAACATGAATTACTCAGAACTTAATAGCAGATAGAGCGTTCAACCCTACTGCACCACAATGTGTTTTTCTCAAATAAATTTGGGATCAGCTAAATGACTTCTTTTCCATCACTTTGGTTGGTTCTGCTAAAGTTAAGCATGAGAAAAAATGAAAGAAAATGAGAACTCTGTGTAGTTATAAACCTGGGGATGAGGCAAATGGTCCTTGGTGTTTCTTGCCAGTGAAACCGGAAAATCGAAAGTGGCGCATCCTGAAGAATACACTACCACATCCTCCAGAGGCTCCAGGAAACCCCGGTTCTTAGCTGATAATGTGGAGCATACAAAATCCAGCACACAGATGTCTGTGCAGATCCCTACCACCAGTAACTTGACAAATTTTATCCAGTCAGTACCGAGGCTAATTCACTCTCCTTAATTTCTTCAACTAAAGTGTCTATACATTATAAGGTAGTATAAATAATACTCATTACTATTCGAAGAATGATAGAAAATAGAGTACTACTCACAACTTGAATCTTGTTGTTTTTCACCCAATCGACGAAAGTATTAGAACCATCTTCCTGAATTGAACCAATGAAGCCATCGTAGCAATCTTTACGCCTGATTGTCACGTTTGGTTTTGTCTCTATCCACCTTAGAGCTGCAGGCAGATTTACACAAAGGGAAAAACTTGAGACTTTACTCTGTTTACATTTATATTCATGAATTCAACTGACAAGAATGGGAAATTCTATGCTTGAGCATAGACTGTTGACAAATTAATGCACTAACAAGTAGGAGTTAACTACCGGGAACCAAATTTGATTCATCAGTTCCAGTAATACAGTGTGGAGGATAAGGGTGCTCCAGTTTCCCAGGGTGGTGCGAATCGAGGAAGGCTAGCACAGGCCATTCGTTGTCACAGAATAATTCAGCCAGTTTTGCCGATTCCTCAATCATCTCACTGATCTGCCTGTTTGGTTCTGTCGGGGCCTGAACATACATAACCATAAACGATCCAAGTTTTACATGCAAAATTTGATTGTAATGAATGAAGTCTTTGACATTCTAACAAACTATTACATGTAGTAGACTATTCCTTTTTAGAAGTCCACGATCACCAGACATGGACTCCAACAAATTGATGTTCTTAAGAATCTCGATATCAAGGGATCAAAACTAAAGAAAAAGAAAAAGATGGAAGAAAGAAGTAGAACAATTACCAGATTGCCAGCTCCAACAGTGCAGAAGCCATTGATGATGTCTACAAGAACTAAACCAGCCTTAGCATCTTCAGGTATAACCACAGATTCCTCATCCAGGGGAATTTCAGTTTTCAACATGTCAACTGTCTGTACTCCCATCTTATTCTAATTTTTACCCCTTTTAAGAATTCTCAGATATATCAATCTGAACCTCAAGGCATCCACCGAAATATAGACTGGATATGCTAAGCATCCTTAATAATTGAATCCTACCATATCCCGTATTGACTGCTTTTTGCTGTTGACTTCGACTTTGTATCATAAATGAGACGACTTTTTTGAGAAGAATCTCGATATGACCATTAAAACCTTCTATCTTTTGGGACTTGAGTCACTGAACATAAAACTTCGAATCATGCTTGGTGAACAATGTTCATTGACAACATTGTTGTTGTCATTGGACAGTTTGAAAAACTGTCAATTTTTTCAACCAACAATTTTTTGATACATCAATATTATCAATCAATGTTGTCATTAAACATCGTACAGATAGCATCATTGTGAAATATCTTTCATGTTGTCCCTTTGGGCAACTAAAGTTTGACTAAAAAATTGTCACTATTTTCTTGATCTTATCTTTTAAAACCCCTATAATTGAGAGATATTCTTGAAACCTGGGTGCATCACATCAATGGGGTTGAATTTTCTCCTCACTTCCTTGTTTATCTACTGATACAATTAGGCAGCCTAGTTTATTTAGTATTTTGGTATTGATTAAAATCAATATTTTAATTTAAGTAAATTAATAAATCAGACATTTAATAGAATTCACAAATTTTTAAACACATATTTTATCAACATTTATTAAAATCTACTAAAAATCTAATTTCAGTCTCAATCGAACAAGGGCTTTAGTATTTTATTTTTTTTTATTTCTATTATTTTTTAAAGTACTTTAATTAGTTATTTGGAGAGATCAAGATCTAATTGAAGTGGTAATAACTAGTGACTTGGGTTTACTAATTCTGTGGAAAGATGAAGGTCTAATTCCATGGGGAGGGCTTCGGAGTGAAATTTACCCTTTTAAAGTTTTTAAACAAACCATGAAAAAGCTCAATATTTTATACAAATTTTTAATGAATTCAGCAGGAGTAATTGATACAACGTTTACATGTTGTGTGACATACCTCATAACCTTTCATTTGGGCGCAAAATCCTTGAATCAACCAATTTGGGAAGAATATAGCCTTTATATTTTTAACTTAAAAGTCTTATTTTTCACTTCCTCCAAATAAATAAATAAAAATAATAATTGGAGCTATAATCCCTTTTTTTTTTCAATAAGTGCAAACGAGTTTCATTTAAAATAATTAAAAAATAATAATTTTTTTTATCTCCCTGCCACCATAAAGCTTGAGGCGGGTGAGATTCTGGCTACTCCTAAAGATCAAGGTCAAAGCTTCATGGCTCATACAAGTATTTGATTTGGTTAAAATCAACCTCTTGCGTTTGCTTTTATGAGAAGTTGAATTACTGTGCCAATTCCTTTTTCTCTGGTTGATCTATTTTAGTTGCAACCCAGTTTCCTGCACCAGTTTTGCTGTATCTTCCTCCTACAAAGCACAATACAACTAATTACAGTCACAGCGGAGAGCTAGCTTCTTGACGCTATAGCAGGGAGGTGCGAATTAACCTCCGGGGTCACGTTAAGGGCAAGCGATGGCGGCTTTCAGTATCGTACCTGTGATTCGCAGGCGGCAGGACTTGAGACGAATTTCAGAATTTAGGCTCCTAAGTCATGACAAGCAATTCATTTTTTTCATTTTTTTAATGAAAACTTTATTCAATCACCCCTCACTTATGACGGATAAATACCGTGGCAACAAATCCAACAAAACAACAAAAGAGCCAAAAGCCATAAAGGCCCTAATCAAGCAAGTAAAAACAAACATATCAACCTTACCACTATTGCCTAATGTTGGGAAAACCAAGCTTATCCATACAAATAATACCTTTTAACAAATTTGGTATTTGGTCTAAGTGCATGTACCTCATCGAGACACCATCCGCCCCTTGTCTGGCTAGAAGATCTGCTGCTCTATTTACTTCTCTATACTGATGAGAGATAGTGAAACTGATGCCGCTAAGCAATTTTAATAACTCATCACAATAATCCCACAAATACCATATCTTACATAAACGGTGTGTTAACCAATTTACCATTACTGCTGAATCAAACCTAATATCTACTCGTTGAAAACCCAACTCTTTAAATAGCTCTACCCCAGTAATAACAGCACGCAATTCCGCTTCATTGTTGCTTCCATAACCATATTTAACACATAAACCAGCAACCAAATTACCATAATGATCCCTAATCACTCCCCCACCTCCACAAGGTCCCGGATTACCAACACAACTCCCATCTACATTGAGTTTTACCCAACCAACAGTAGATTTCCTCCAAGAAACTAAAAGAGTTGGTTTACTCACCTTAGAACCCATAGGCAGCTCTAAAGCTTTGAGAAGTTCATAGTCTGTTTTGCTTAGCTTAGAAACTTTAACTATTTCTTCAGCAAGGAGACACACCAAGCCTTTATAGCTAGCCATACCTCCTCCGCAGATTCTCGATTCCCTTCCATACGTGCCTTACATCGACGTCCCTAAAGCTTCCATGTTATCAAACTTGGTAATAGCCCAATTAAGATTCCACGTTGTGAAACATTTTTTGCACATGTAAACCATCGATTAACTCTTGTCCACCATGATTGTGCCTCCAAGTAGTGCACTCCCAAGGCCAAGGAGGCCAATTTCCAAACAGCTTTAGCAATATCACCAGAGTTGAGCACATGATTCAGTGTTTCCACTTATCCCTTATCACAACAATCACAACGTGAAACTAGAGCAACCCCTGTTGATCTCACCCTAGAGTCCACACTTAAACAGTTAAACTTAGCTTTCCACATGCAAACATACACTTTTTTGGGTAGAAATTTATGCCATATCCATTTCATCCAAGGAAACTCTGGACTCCTCACCTTTACAATATCCCAAGCACTTGAAGTACGTTTTCGAGCACCGAGGCCGTTGCACTGCTCCAGTGCTCCTGTCACTGACGAGGTAAGTTCCCTTTTTATTTTATTCTATTTTTCTTCCTTTTAATTTATTGGTTGTTTCTAGCTTTATTTAGGGATTTAGCATTTAGGGATTTTGATTTATTGGTGATTTGTGAAGCTTTATATGCTGAAATTGTGATTAATATGTTGCAATTGTGTTGTAAATATGAGAGGTGCGTTGACTGCGTTCCATTTGCTGGTGCTTCAACAATTGCCAATTGGGTTCCTGTGTGCTGTAAACTAGATTATTTATTCAAAATGGGAACTTGTGTTTAAAAGAATGGACAACTCATGAACACAGTTTGCATCTACACAGAATGGGCAGGAAATGTTTAAAAGATCCAAGGTTACAGGCAATTTATGAACTCAAGCCTTTCAAATTTCCCCAATATCTTAATCCAAGGTTTCTATCTTTCTTTATAAATCAAATTACAAGCAAACTTATCATGTTCACCAGGTGCAAACTAACCAACATTTGAGTTTCTGTCCAAGTTCCTGATATGTTCATTATGAAGGCACTAACCAGTAACCAACATGTTGAAGCACCAGCAAACGGAACGGACAACCCATTAATTGTTCTTTATATCCTGTTTCTTATTTTCTTGTGATTATACTACTCTTTTTCTCTTCTTTTGTGATTGAGAACTTTCCTATCTAATGTGATTTATGAGGACAATTGTAATAAGATATCTTTTAAGAGCATTTTTTCGTCAGTTTGTGAATGTTAGATTGTGCCCCCGTAGTTTTTAAAGTCTGCATCCGCCCCTGATCCTCCCCTTGTCTGGCTAGAAGATCTGCTGCTCTATTTACTTCTCTATACTGATGAGAGATAGTGAAACTGATGCCGCTAAGCAATTTTAATAACTCATCCCAATAATCCTACAAATACCATATCTGACATAAACGGTGTGTTAACCAATTTACCATTACTGCTGAATCACACCTAATATCTACTCGTTGAAAACCCAACTCTTTACATAGCTCTACCCCAGTAATAACAGCACACAATTTCGCTTCTTTGTTGCTTCCATAACCATATTTAACACAAACCAGCAACCAAATCACCATAATAATCCCTAAGCACTCCCCCACCTCCACAAGGTCCCAGATTACCAACACAACTCCCATCTACATTGAGTTTTACCCAACCAGCAGCAGATTTCCTCCAAGAAACTAAAAGAGTTGGTTTACTCACCTTAGAACCCATAGGCAGCTCTAAAGCTTTGAGAAGTTCATAGTCTGTTTTGCTTAGCTTAGAAACTTTAACTATTTCTTCAGCAAGGAGACGCACCAAGACTTTATAGCTAGCCATACCTCCTCCACAGATTCTCGATTCCCTTCCATACGTGCCTTGCATCGACGTCCCCAAAGCTTCCATGTTATCAAACCTGGTAATAGCCCAATGAAGATTCCACATTGTGAAACATTTTTTGCACATGTAAACCATCGATTAACTCTTGTCCACCATGATTGTGCCTCCAAGTAGTGCACTCCTAAGGCCTAGGAGGCCAATTTCCAAACTGCTTTAGCAATATCACCGGAGTTGAGCACATGATCCAGTGTTTCTACTTGTCCCTTATCACAACAATCACAACGTGAAACTAGAGCAACCCTTGTTCATCTCACCCTAGAGTCCACACTTAAACAGTTAAACTTAGCTTTCCACATGCAAACACACACTTTTTTGGGTAGAAATTTATGCCATATCCATTTCATCCAAGGAAACTCTGGACTCCTCACCCTTACATATCCCAAGCACTTGAAGTTGAGAATTCTCCATTGTCATTTTTTTCATTTATAAGAGTTTTATGGAACTAAATTTGTTACCTTAAAATCAACAATAAAGCAACAAATAAAACTGAAATATTCAAAAATATTTATATTACAATCAAATAACAATACGAAAATGTTCTAAACGATTACTTTAATATAATAACTCGTCTTGCGATTTTTGAGCTCTACATGCATATTTAGGAGCCATGATATTTGACTCAAGTCACTCAACAACTAACACTTATTAAACTGTAAAATTAGAACAAGAATTACGTAAATCAACTCTCCTTTAGTTTCACAAAATGTTAATAAATTAGATTTAATGAAATGCTAGCAGTAACTTGAGTTTAGAAGATTATTTCATAGTAGACAACAATACATACTAATAAATAAATAAAACTGAAACTACATAAAGTAAAGTAGAAAACAGTTTTCCATAAGCTCAAATAAAATTCTATTTGCACATTAAATAAATCTTGCTGAATTAATCCAATCAAATTGCAACTTTTATTATTGCAAAATTACACAAACAGGAAAAAAAAAAAAAAACATTTCCAAATCATAATTATATCCTTGCTTCTCTTAACTTCAAAGATAATTAGATAAACGTGAAAAAGGAACAAATTATGTTAGCAAAAGTATATTTCAAATGAAAAATCAACAACAATTGCTCCCCCAAACCATAAAATTGACGATTGAAGCCCTATTCAACTTGAAGCTCTGCTCGCAATTTTTCAATAAGCTGCGTAAACCTACCAAATAAACCTTTGAATTTTCAGTTCCAAGCAAAACCTAGAAAGTAAAAGATTATTAATAACAAGAAAGGGGAAAAGATTTGTTGGAATGTGGATATTTAATCATCACAATGAGAAATTAATTTTCCTTTGACGATTGAACTCAAATGCATGGTGGATCTTAGAACCTTGAGATCATATGATGTTTTTTTTTTTTAAATCCTAACACATAAATGATGAGATGATAACCTTGAAAGAGCTTTTAATGGCCTAGCAAAATGCTTCATCCCTTAGATCTTTTCCCTTGTACTCCTTAAGTGCCTCTCCTTTCTTTTGAGAAAATGAAAAAGAATAATGTTATTCATCCCTACTGGAGTTACAAACACAGTTTAGATGACGTTGATATGACATTAAATAATAGGTGAAATTAAATAAGTCATTTAATTTCACTTTTCATTTAACCTATCATTTAGAGTCACATAAACTGTGTTTGTAACCCCAATGGGGATGCATAACACTACTCAATGAAAAATAGCTAAAACCCTAACCTTAGTAAATGTGCCCTTAAATGACATATTTATAACACACAATTAGAATTTCATATTTGCACAAATTTCATTGGACTTTATTGTAGTAGATTAATTAACTCACTACAATTAAGTCACACACCTTTATTGGAGTCAAAAGAGGAACCTAACCAGACTCACAATACTCAAGCTCCAATAGATGTTTTTAATTGTGTCAACTCTTGAACAATTGAGATATAACTACTAATCTTGGCTTACTCTACCGAAAAAAGGGGATTGAACTCTTGAATCGAGTGAAAGTTATGGAAGCCCATTATGATTCAATAACAATATCATCCGACCACCATTCCACAAGTCAACCCCCGTTTGACCATCAATATGTTGAAATCGACAAAATGACCGTTTTGCCCTTCAACATGTATTTCCCTCTAAGTCTCATTTCATAAGGTGAATTCGTTGTGATCATATCACAACACCAAGTCCAACGATCTCATTGTCGGACTACTGAGCTTAGGTTCAATTCCATTTAGAAAATATCTTAGAGTGATGATCGTCTCATCATGATGATTAACGGATTCCATCATTGCATGTATATGATCTCTAACTGCTTCGCCAAGATTCCCAAAGCACCGAGACTGGTTTTCTAATTAAGACTTTACTCATGGTACCTCAAAGAACTTGAACTAGAAATTAAAGGTACATTACTTGCTCAAGATTTAGGTAACTTATTCGATAATCGAGTGGTGTTTCATTTCGAGCGGTCACAAATGAGTCATCCACGCGATCCTATTCAACGTGCTTCAGAACACATTATTATTCTTATTCCCAGATCTAGACAAATCTTAATAAGAACATTTCAATCTTATCAACATAAAGCGTTCAACTTCTTGTACCGATTGCGAACGACGTATTTTGATCATATAACGAAATGTGTCTCACCATACCAAAATCATCGAATGTACATGTGAATAATTGAACGTTAATTCATAATATCGTTACAATATACTTACTACAAAAAAGGCATCAAACCAACAAGATGAACCCTTAAAAGTCAGAAAAAGTTACCTTGTTTCACATGGAAGAAATAGCTCTAAAATAATAAATAACTGATTTTCCACTACGCAATTCTTAGTTGTAGAGAAAGATAAAACAAGCTACAAAAATAGATACCCACAAATCTAAAGAGGGAAATGAGAAACACAACTAACTGAGATTTGGTTGCTAATGGAATAATCCACCGTCGTTCTTTAGTCTTGATTTTTGCTCTTTTGGATTTCTCGGGATTTTGCCGTTTTGATAGATGCCGATGCTTTTTATTTTTGCCCTTTTGAAGCTTCACAATATTTTGGGCCAACGCATATAATGGCTCAGTGGGTTTAAATAAAAGGAAAAAATAAAATTTTGAGCCCCCTAAAAAGCTGGGCCTGAGGCAGAGGCTTCTTAGGCCTCTCCTCAGATCTGGCCCGGCGGCTTTGTCCCTCCACCACAAGCCACCGTAGACATACCATCACCAAAGAACATTAAACATTCATCATGAATCTCAGAAATATAAGGCTATGTTCTCTTTGTTGTTTTCAGACTGTTTTCAGTTTTCAATTTTCCAAAACATCGAAAATGTGTTTTCCTTCTCATTTTTGAAAATGAATTTTGGAAAGCAAAATTGTGCTGAAAACTCAAAAAATCCAAAACCACATTTTTGACCATTTTTAGTACAAAACACGGTGATTTCGAAAAGCACGGGAAACACCGTTTTCACTTATCCTCTCTCTCTCTCTCCCTTCTCTTGACTTCCTCTAGTTTTCAATTTCTTCTACCCTAAATCCACATCTCCCATGGCCTCCTTAAGGAGCTTTTAGATGCCAGTCCACCTTCGATTTCCCAACGCCTTTCCACCTACAACACATGTCATGTAGATTGGTGCCACCCCTCCGCCGCCTGTGAAAACGGTGGCTTGACCTGTTGATCCTTCCCCTACCTGTAGCCTCAAAATCAGGTAAGCCCAACCTGTTTTTCTGTGACTTGTCTTCAATATTTGATCAATATTGTGGAATAGATTGCTTATGTTGTCTAATAGAGATGTATGACACTCTAATTTCAAAAGGTCCTCATTTGAACTCATACCACCACTTTCTGCCATACTCTTCATAGGTGGACCACCTAGTTTTGAACTCTATTTCCACTCTAAATCACATTCGCAGCTTTTGTATAGTATTGCCTTGGTCTCTGTTCTTTTACGGCCAAATGAGTGCTTGCCTGAGTCCAACGTTAGAGATTACGTTGGTTGGATTTTACCCAGTTTTGTCCATTTATATTTCTTTGCTAAATGACATTCTACAGAATATTCAAGTCAAGACTAGAAAACCATCTATTACTGAATAAAGCTTTCATCAGTTTTAACTTTAAATGATTATCACTAATAATTTGGTAGCGAAGTTGCAATAAAAAGCTGAAGGTCGTTCAAAACATGTTCCTAGTGATTTTGGTGACTTTAAAACAGGGAGATGACAAAGATGGTAAGGGCTATTTGGTTTCGTTATGACCACGAAGAAACGGATTCCACTTATGGTTAAAAAATTGAAGTTGAGAGAATAGGAATCTGTAGCTTAGTGATTAGCAATGCATAATAGAATTGAAATAATTTTAAGGCGGATTCAGGAAAAGGGAAAAAATATGTTCTGTGAAATACTAATTTAAGAAATATAGATTAGGCTTTTATTCTCTGTGCGCTTTATCCAATGTCATAATTTTCGTGAACTTTTTTTATGTGTGTTTCAGTAGAGAAGGATAAATATTTCTTGTGTTATAAATCAAGAACTTCAAAAGTTTTACTGGTATGCCAATGGTGAATTGTGATGCCTAGTGATGATAATATAGGTCATCTGTCTACTGCAGGTTTGTGAGTAAAGATGAATAAGATTTCCATTGTTATTTATAAAGCGTTAGACAAATTTTGCTAACATAAATTCCAAAGGATTTGAAAATGAGGGGATCATCATGTAATTCTCAAGCCTCAGCTTGAGCAGTTGAGCTGATGTAGATATTCATATATAATTTAAATGAAACAACCAATTTACAGACCCGGAGGATGTTGAGCCAATATGTCACACCGAGAATAAAAGCACACAAAGAAAAATATTAATTTAAGGCAGATTCAATCGTGAAATGCCTTTGGAATAAATATGTTTTGCTGTCGAGTTTAAGCTAGTGGTTGTCATGGTGTTTGGGCTAATTTCCTTTTATCATTTGTTAATGCAATGTTATACAAACTAATGCTATATATTTGTATCATTAATAGGTTATCTCTGTTTTCCATTAATGCTATATATTTCCATTTTCCATCATCACAGTTTACCTGTACAAAGACTTATCATTTTTTATTTGTA